ATAGGGGAGTGTGATATTTATTGTCTATGATTTTATTGTGATCGTTGCTTTAATGTTTTAATTATTCCATCAGTCAGAAATAATTGAATTTGTCACTTACTTTGCAATAAATAAAATGAATTAATTATTTAAATACAGTTAAGAGTTTTAAGAGCCCAAAAGCAGTTAAGAGTTTCTATATAAGTCTTTAGGAATTGCTGGAAAAGATTGAAATGCAGTATGGTTTTTGTTTTTTATACTTATATAATATCCCTAATTAAGTAATAATAGGAGAGTAAACAAAACGTTTGCGCATCTCCAGACTGGAGAGATTAGATTCTAAATGAATCTGCTTTGAATTATTCATCTGAGTCAATGATTTAATGATCCACGAATAAAGAGAGTGAGCAGCTTTGTTTGTAAATGAATCAGTTATTTTCAGTTATTTTCGGTGTAAATTTAATGAACGATTCAGTGATTGAGGGACTGAATCCATCTACCCATCCATCCATTTATCTATCTATCCATCCACCCATTCATCTATTGGTCAATTCATCCATCTATTCATTTATCCATCTGTATATCCTTCTATCAAAGTATCTATCTATCCATCCATCCGTCCGTTCATCCATTCATCTGTCCGTCCTTCCAGTCAATCTGTCTATCTATTCGTCTATTTGTCCATTTATCTATTTGTCAATCCATCCTTCCGTCCATCCATCCATATATCTATCGATTTGCCTATCCATCCTTTTATCCATCTATCCGTCCATCCATCCATCCATCCATCCATCCATCTCTCTGTCCATCTATCCAACTATTAATCTATCAATCTAAGCATCTAAGTATCTATCCATCCATTCGTCTCTCCTTCCATCTATACATATATCTATCTATTTGTCTGTCTATCCTTCTATCTATCCATTTGTCCATCCATCTATCTGTTCATCTATTAAAGTAGATGTCCACGTCTGTCCATCCATCCATACATATATCTATCCATTTGTCTATCCATCCTTCTATCCATCTATCCGTTCATCTATTAAAATATCTATCTATCAATCTAAGAATCTATCTGTACATACATCCATCTGTCCGTCCGTCCATCTCTCTGTGTTTCTCCATATCTCCATTAATCTGTCCATATGTATTTATCTATCTGTCCATCTATCAAAGTAACTATCCAAGTATTTAACTATCAATCTATCCAAGTATCAATCTAAGTATATATCTAAGTATCTATCCGTCCATCCATCCATCCATGGACGGATTGATACATCTATCTATTTGTCTATCCATCCTTCTCTCCATCTGTCTGTCAATCCATCCATCCATCCGCCCATCAATCTGGCTCCATCTAGCTACCCATCCATCTATCAAAGCCTCTATCTATCTAAGCATCTACCTATGTATCGGTCCATCTATCTATCCATCTGCTCATCTATCTATCCATCCATCTACGTGCCTAACTATCTATCCATCTATATGTGCATCTGTCCATCTGTTTGTTGATTCATCCATCTATATGTTGTTCAATCTATTTGTCTGTTATTCAACCTGTTGATCCATCTTTCCATATGCCTTTCTGTCTGTTTATCCATTCAAATATTAAAAGAGGATAATGCAAATTAACTGATATAAAATGTTAACGAGAGTCAATAAAAAAAAGTAGAGTCTCAGATAAAACAATTGTGTGTGTGTTTGCTGGATTAGCGGCATGATCATGTGTGTGTGTAGTGCTGACAGTGGCCATCGACACGGCTCAGTAAACACACTAGAGAGGCCGGGCCCGGGGCGGCTCATTGTGGGCACAGGCACACAACCAGACAGAGAATTACAGGGCACAGGAGGCCAGAATAGCAAACAAACAATAATGTGCATAACTCATTAGGAATGTGTAAACAAACACATCCATCAGCATTCACACATAGACCAGGGGCATCTGTTAAACTGTCTGCGGACACGTCAGCAAACACAAAAATGAGATACACTTCACTGGACACGCACATATACAGATTCAAACAGGAACAACCCGGTGAAGGCTGCCTCTGTTCAATCCTCTCAAAATGAAAGGTTTATAAAAAGCCTTTTGAGACGTAAGTTTTAAGAAAATTCCTGCAAGAGCAGTGTGGTGTTAGACATTATTATTCGATAGCTATAATGTCGCTCAAAAGTTTATTCAAACATTGTTTAAAAATAAGAGTAAATAATTAATAATAATGTTACATTTAAAGAATGCATGTCTTACTTAAGCCCTGGTCAGATTACATTATTTTTATTGTTGATTACGAAAGTCCCTATATTAAGATTATGCAATTTTGTCTTAATAAAATCGTGTCTTGTCATGGGTAACAAATGTGTTACAGACTACACGTTCCTTCACGGTCAGTCATCCTGTGACGTCTACTATGAGCGTTGCTTCCCAAAACAGTCACAAGTGTTGCTATAACAATGTTTTTTATCTCAATTAAATTTCTTTTAATCTTATTTTAATCTCAATAATAAACACTGATGCTTGCTAACAACAAGGCTACATTATTTAAGGGCATTCGTTATGACAGGATCAAACGTATGTTTCCTTTTTAATATTAAGATATTTTCTTTTGAATCTAAATGTATATTTTTCTGCCAGGGTTGCTTATTAGACTAAACACTGCCTCCCTGAACTTGCTGTGAGTGAGACGGAGAAAATGAGAGCACATAAGCACTGAGAAAAAATCTGATGCTCAAGACATAATCTTTCAAATAATGCCATATTAAAAAATAGCAAATATATGACAGAGGTTTGTGATACAACAATTACAGTGGTGCATCAATTAAAACGTTATTTTCTATGGAGCAAAACAAATCATCCACCCGCAGAGTTGAGTAGTGGACGGCAGAAACAAAACAAAATTTGTATATTATCTTTTGTGAAACAAATTTTGTTTGATAAAATTTATATCCTAATTTTAATGTATTTTTGTTGGTCACTTATCTACTAGATAAACAAGAAGAACAAATAACATTTACAGTGAAGTGCTTCAAATCAAGTTCATTGTACGCTTCAGCACCCAAACACGAACTAGTTTGTTAAATAAAATAATAATCTAACCTAAATAAAACTAAAGTAAAATATTTACTGTTTCAGAAAACAGTTTTTTTTTTTACAATTAATGACAAATTTGAATAAGCAGGAAACGATTTTACGATGTATTCGCAGCACTGTACATGATCCTAGATTACCTCGGAAGAACAAACTCTGTTGGAAGGATGAGAGAACTCAGAAACTCGTGAGACTGGTCTGTCAGTCAGTCAGATAAAATTGCTTGAAACACCTTAATATTTTAGAAAAGTAGTTAAAGTTTACATAAACAAAGATTAATCTTGTCCACCTGCGACCCACCCATAAGTAATTATGCAGCCTATTTTTAGATTACCTGACCCGCGAATAAACGAAAGCACCTGCTAATATAACCTAGAAATAATGTGCTCCTACTGCACAGTGTCACTCACGTGACAGACCTCGTCTTAAAGAATGGGGAAAACATTAAACATGCTAAACTTTCTGAATGGTGTTGTGAAGCATCACAAGCATGGTATCGGTTGTTGTGAACTATGCCACATTACACGGGAAGAAACGATTGAATCTTGTGTGACGATGTCCATTTGTCGTTTACGAATACCCATGACACCCTAATGCTGCGTTTACACCAGACGCGAAACGCGCGTCAAGCGCGAGTGATTTACATGTTAAGTCAATGCAAACACGCGAATAGACATCCTGCGGCGCAATGCGTGCGAATGACGCAAATTGCGCGAATGGCGCAGGGCGAATTGAGCGTTTTGCGCGTTTGACGCGCTTAATGACCGTTTCACGCGAATTCGAAAATCTGAACTTCAGCGTACATTCGCGCCGCGTTAACCAATCAGAAGCTTGCTCTTGTGGGGGCGTGATTGTGACGTAGAACCTGTTGTCAGTTGACAGTTCAACAAACTGGGCTTGGCTCAGTCAGAAGTACCGCTGAAAGCCTCCGTCATCCAGGTTCAGTTTCTGGAGGAGTTTATGAGCTCACAGAGCTGGATGCACCTCTGAAAGGATGTAGTGGACTCAGACACGACCCTAAACGTATCGACGCTGTTTTTCAGTCTTCATAAAGCACATAAACACTGTTATTTTCTTCATAAAATCCATGTCAGCCATTTAGCTATGAAGCTAGTCTTCGGGCAGACAGAAGCCCTGCCCATCACGCGAATCCGCGTCTGTTATGAAGTGAATTTGACACGCGAATGAAGCGGGGTTCGACGCGCGTATGAAGCGAGTAAACTCAAATGTTCACGCGGCTCTTTACGCGCGAATAGCGCGATTTATCCGCGTGTTCCACGTCTGGTGTGAACACAGCATTAGTCAAGGACATCGTGCTGAAATCGTGAAAAGTTCAGGTGAGCCGACCGGGGTTTTTAGAATGTTGTCTTGTTTTTGGATTTAAAATAAAATAAAAAAAAATTCCAGAAATAATAGTGTTTTCCTTAAAACAGGTTCAATTATTTGCCAGATGGGTAAGTAAAATAATATTGTTTTTAGTTTAAAAAAAAACCCAGCAGCAAGCTTTTAAACAGCAGTGCAATTAATAACAATATCAATCATTCTAAATGCAGGCTCTTTATAGTCATGAAGGAAACAATTAATTTGTGTATTAACACAGAGTTTATGTCATTCTCTATCAGCCATTTTACAACATCTGTAAAAGCATTTCAACCAATGAAGATTTAGAGTGGGAAGTGTTTTGTAACGAGCAGCACACAGTGATGACACTAGCACACATGTGTCCATTCATCCTCTCTGCCTGTCTATCTAAAGAGGCCATTGATCTGCGCTGAGACAGCAGTCGGAACGGCACTCTGACACTGTCTGAGCAGCGTTCATTTCAGCTGATTAAAAGCTGGAGAAATCAATGAGCCGTTTCCGATTCAGCATTTAAAGTGGTGCCTGGGAGTCCCACGCTGAGAAAAAGAGATGTTGGTGGTGTTTGTTTATTTACCATAGCCCCGGTGAAGGAGTGCGGGTGCAACACTCGTGTCTTCTACCACTCGTACGACCTCTCCTGCTGACTTCAGTCTGGAAGAAGAAAAAGGAAACATTTAATGATGAAATAATTAGGAACAGCTGTTACTTCCCATTCAGGCATATTAAATTTGGCATGAAATCAAAAATTACTTATTTTATTTGTATATACACTACCTGACAAAAGTCTTGTCGCCTATCTCAGTTTTAGGAACACATAATAACTGTGACTGATGACTTCTAGTCTATCATTTGGTATCAGAAGTGGCTTATATGAAAGGCTCTAAATTACACTTATTTTACCACAATAAAATATGATCATGCCTTGATTTTTTTTATTATTTTTTTTAAAGATTTATTTTTGGCCTTTTTGCCTTTATTATTAGATAGGACAGTATTGAGACAGGAAGCGAAGTGGGAGAGAGAGGGGGTAGGCTAGGGAAATGTCGTTGAGCCAGGACTCGAACTCGCGTTGCTCCGATGTGCTATTGCACCATATGTCGGCGCGCTAACCACTAGGCTATTGCGCCGACATCATGCCTTGATTTTTAATGATTTAATTAGGACAGTAAGGTCTGACTTTGCTTAGACATAAGTCTTGTCACTGAACAGAAATAATGTCCAGTATAGAATATAAAGTCATGCTGCAGTGGAAACAGAATGAATATTGTGTCTGACTCCATCATGAGCTTGGAGGACTGCATCCATACATCTCTGCAATCACTCAAATCACTTATTTCTAAAGTCATCTGGAATGGCAAAGAAAAAGTTCTTGCAGGACTCGCAGAGTTCATCAAGATTCTTTGGATTCATCTTCAATGCCTCCTCCTCAGTCTTACCCCAGATATGCTCAATAATGTTCAATTCAGGTGACTGGGCTGACCAATCCTGGAGCACATTGACCTTCTTTTCATAACATTCCATCCATCTCAAAACGACTTTTTTCTTCACTTCTGGTCACATAGACCTTAGAATAGGGCTATCAGCATATGTCTAATTTCTGCTCAGCCTTCATCCATTTATCAATATTTCTATTATTATATTATAATATTTCTTTTATAATAACTATTTCTATTATTCAAAATTTTGTAATTTCAGAACCTTTTCATTTGGATGCAAGTCACAAAATTTAAAAAATGCATATACACATCTTCCTTTTCATGCAGACTTTAAGTAAAAATAATATAGCATTCATTGGTAATATTAAATGGTGACAAAATGTTACTAATGCAAATTTACTTTTAAAAATTACTGTATTTTGCTAAATAACAAATGTCACATAGGGCTCTGATAGCCACAAAGGCCTACTTTCTGAATTAAAAGTTTAATATAAATATCAGAAAGGTTAAAAATCCTTTAAAAACATAAAGAAGCATCCCACTATTGTGAATAACTAAATATATATGTATATATATATTGGTACATATGGCCGCATTAAGTTTTTTGAGCGAACGTTACGGGGCGGTGTGACGCCACTCCTCTTCTTCGTGCTTGCCGGCTGTGACAGCTCACTCACCTCCGTGTGGAGGTCTTTCCCGCCGCAACCAGTTTGTCCGCTTAGCTCGTAGCGTAACGTCGATGGAGCCCGGAGGAGGAGGAGGAGCCGGCCGCAGAGATGATCAGGTTCGAGTCCGGGGAAGAGCGGTTCCAGAAATTAGGTAAGATGAAAAAGAATCCAAAAAATAAAAGCGAACGAGTTTGTGACGGGGCGAGAATTTGGCGAAATCCGAAAACGCGGTCAAAAAGCTTTTGCTTTTCTTTTCTGGATGGCTTTTGTAAATCGTCGCTTGGGTTTAGGGAAGGAGGAGGAGGAGGGCGATTGGCCGGCCGCCCGGTCAATCGTTCAGTCATTCAGTTGGACAGATGGTCGCTCCACAGCGACCTCCGGCGGTGCGAACGGTGCGCGCTCCCGAGAGGCATTCGAGACGTGAAAAAGCATGGCGCAGCGGCCTCTCGCGGATTCGCGAAAAACAAAAACAGCACAAATACGTATCCCCCGGGACATATTTTGCAGCCTCCAGAAACCTCTGTGGGGCTAAGTTTCCACAATGAGCCTGGGTTGCAATTGGAACAGCAGTTTCTTTTATTTATTTATTTATATTGCATCTCCTTTTTACACTTTAAAGAATCCTCTCACGGGCCGAACTAAACACGTTTTTGGTCCGTACATTTGCCACCCCTGATTTAGACAAAGATAAAATAATTAGACATGCTTTTTTCGAACTGTATTTTTTAGTTAATGCATTGTTGGCTTCATTGGCTATCTTCACGCAAAAAACATTTTGAATAATACAAATATAATAAAAACAATTAAAACATTTAAAAGGACAAACACAAATTTTAGTACACACAACTTTTTACATTAAAAAAAAATCTAAAAATTCCTATTGCTAAATTTTACTAAACAATTGTTTAAGTGGGTTCACTTCATAAAAAAGGGGGGGAAAGCCTTTGACAAACATTAAAAGCAGGACAGTCAAATAAAAGGTTTAAATATTACAACTGTCCTGAGTACGATCTTCTTTTAGTAGAAATCCATGTGTTAGTCTTGTAAGATCAATTCAACATACTTTTATCAAAAATCCATTTTAATTTAACCATTCAAATGAAAGGCGCTTGTATTCATGAAAGGGTGGGATTAATTGTAACTACTAATTATAAATATATTAATTACAAACATAGATGTTTCTAATGAAAAATGTTGTTTATAATCTCATAATTACACTTTGAAATATTCTCTGCAACTACCTAAATGTTGACGATCAAACACCATCAAAGAGCAAAATAAAACATTAATTCAGTACTTGAGCTTAAATCTTACCAAACTCTCAAAAGCAATAAGGTAAGGTTTATTTTGGATGAACCCACGCAGCTGGCGTCACTCAGTGTTATGACACTGACACCTGTGGAGAAGCAAGAAAAATATATATGAGACCGCAGTTTTTCAAGCCATCACTCTTCATTTTTAACATTGCATAACATCTCTGACAATACTACTTTTCACACTTTAGTATAAATATAGCAGTGGTGGTGCTGATGGTACTCTGTACAATTCATGCATGCTTGTAGGGTAAAATCAAGTCACTGAAGCATGTGGTTGGGACTAGCTTTCTGAAAACAGGCCACAATGAATGCACACAGCCATTCGTCATCACACTTTATTGGTGAATATTTCATGCTTAATTGACTCTAAGGGGCTGTTTAGATGATGTTTACAGCCAAAAGAAGAGAAACTGTTAATGCATTTTTCTCATTGGTTTACATGACTAAAAAGGGTTTTAAAAAAGCGGATGTTTTTAAAAATGTCAACGATGGCATGTCATTGTAAATACTCGCAAGTCTTTGAAAACAATGATGTCATGCATGTGTATAGTTGTGGTGTTTATGGAGATGTAAATAAAGGCATAATTACAAACACACAACAATGGTGGAGTACATGCTAGTGCTGTTGTTGACCAAGAGTTTGCTAATGTTTTTTTCAGCAAAGTGTGGATTTACTTCAATTACAATCAGTAGCGGAGACACATACACATGGCAAATTCTACATACGCATCTGCATCGAGCCACCAACTGCCCTTCAGTTTTATCTATCTGTCCATCCGTCAATCCGTCCATCCATCTATCCATCCATCCATCTGTCTATACATCCATCCATCTGTCTATTCATCTATCTATTGGTATGTGCATCTATCTCTCTATCCGTCCATCCATCCATCTATCCATTTATATATCTGTCCGTCCATCCGTCTATTTATTCGTCTGTCCACTATTCTGTCTATCCATCTGTCTATTCGCCTATTCATTTATCTATCTGTACGATCATCTATCTATCCATCCATCCATCTGTCTATCTTTCTATCTATCCATCTCTCTATTCATCTATCCATCTATTTATCTGGACGTCCATCTATCTGTCTATCTATCTGTCTATCTATCTATCTATCTATCTATCTATCTATCTATCTATCTATCTATCTATCTATCTATCTATCTATCTATCTATCTATCTATTAATTTATCAATCTGTCTGTCCATCCATCTGTTCACCTATCTGTCTATCCGTCCATCAATCTGTCTACTCACCTATCTATCTATCTCTACGTCCATCCATCCATCTATCCATTTATCTATCTGTCCATCCATCCACCTTTCTATCGGTTCATACATCTGTCTATCCACCTATCCCTCTATCCATCTATCCATCTATCCATCCATCCATCCATCCATCCATCCATCCATCCATCCATCCATCCATCCATCCATCCATCCATCCATCCATCCATCCATCCATCTATCTATCTATCTATCTATCTGCATATCCCTCTATCTATCCGCCTATCCCTCTATCTATCTATCTATCTATCTATCTATCTATCTATCTATCTATCTATCTATCTATCTATCTATCTATCTATCTATCTATCTATCTATCTATCTTTCTAGCTATCTATCTATTCATCAGTCCGTCCGTCTGTCCGTCCATCCATCCATTCATCCACCTTTCTATCTGTCCATACATCTGTCTATTCGCCTATCCATCTATCTGTACGTCCATTTATCTGTCTATCCATTCATCCATTCATCTATCTATCTGTCTGTCCGTCCGTCTGTCCATCTGTCTGTTACTTTGCTACAGGGGAAAATCAGTTTTTTCCCATATCGTGCAGCCCTAGTTAAATTTATAGAATTATTAATATGAGTAAGACTACACAGTGCTATTTTACATTTGCTAATTTAAATTCTGTAGCTGAATAATATTAAGACTTTGCAAGAAAATTATAAAGCACCGTTTATTTCATTTGTATTAGGGTTGTGCCGATAGATGATGGGCAAAGATCTCGCCAAGAGCTGAGACCTATGACGATTTTAAAGACGTTATTTAGCTCGTTTCGCATTATTGTAGACCAATTACATGTTTTACTTACATTATTGAATAAAATGAATAGTAGTATTATTTTTAATCTTCATCATTACATCATGAAGAAAAAACATTGTGTAGAAATACTGAAGCAACATCTCAAGACATCAGCCAGGAAATTAAAACTTGGCCACAAATGGGTCTTCCAAACAGACCATGACCCTAAGCATACTGCCAAATTAGGTCAAATGTGCTTTAAGGACAACAGAGTGAATGTTTTGTTGTGGCCATCACAAAGCCCTGATCCCAATCCTACAGAAAATGTGTGGGCAGAGTTGAAAAAGCTTGTGCGGGCAAGACAGCCAACAAATCTGACTCAGTTACAACAATTCTGTCAGGAGGAATGGGCCAAAATTCCTTCAAACTATTGTGAGAAGCAAGTGGTAGGATACCCAAAACATTTGACCAAAGTTATACAGTTCAAAAGCAAAGCTGAAAAAGTACCAAGGAAATGTATGTAAACTTTAGACTGTCTAGAAATGAATAAAAATTATCAAAAAAAAATTGAATTCTCTCAATATTCTGGCATTTAGCAAATGTAAATCATTTAGGTAATCCTAAAAGACCTAAAATAGTAAACGTTTAGTATGATTTACCATCAGACATTTGAAAAAAAAAAAAAAAAAAAAAGGTTTTGATTCCTGTTTTAGAGTGTATGTAAACTTCTAGTTTCAATTGTATATTGCAGAAAAACTAAATATTGCAATGTCCTAATTTTTTCAATATATTGCAGTCCTACTACAGACAAGAGCTATAACTGCGACAAAACCTTTGACTTCAAAAATACATTGAGGTTTGCTTGAAAGAAAAAGCAAAACACCCCAGTAGATCTAAAAATACAAACGAGAAACAATTCTAGACATCTGATTCCTCTTCTCTGGAAGTGCATCAACTAACAACACTAGATTTTTGCTTTTTACCAGTCTTCCGATGAAAGGTATCGCTGAAGCTCTGCTAGCTAAAAATGCATAAAGATTGAGAAGATACCGTTCTGCAGAAGATAACAAACCCAAGCTGTCATACAATAAACAGAGCATGAGTAAACCGTGTCATGGATGGGACGACTTCAGTGACCCCGTGTGTCTCCTGAGAGTCATATGGAGTGAGTTTATTTGGTACATGGCCAGAGGGCAACAGCGTTCCAACCCAAAAACATTCAAACACATGGTTCCAGTCGAGGACACACTGAAGCCGTCTGCAAACTACTGATAAAACATATCTCTAACAGGCAAACGCTCATGTTTACTACAGCTGAGGGGTCCGTCTTCAATCTGACTGGCCTTTTCAGTGACTCAACAGTATGGCGGTCTCGTGATCTGCCCAAATGACGCAATGTAGAATTACTCAAGTAAATGCAAAGTGTTTGACCTCTTATGCAAATTAAGTCTGTTAGTTTTGTGCAGTTTCAAACTATTTCTAAAACATAGAGCTTTCTGCTGCAATCTGTATGGCAAGGCTGGGTATTTGCAACCATCGTTTTGGAGACGTGACTTGTATTCAGGTCAACTGACTGTAGGTGAACAGAGGAATCATTCAGTATTTTTTCTGTCCATCTCAGGTGTCACTCTTACTGTCCTGAAGGTCAATCTGCATAGTGAGTTCTCATTCCTGAAGCACCTCTGGGACTGATTCTGTTTCGTTTCACTAAAACGCCAACGGACAACCACCTTGCACACTGCTAAATGCAAAACATGCACCTTAGCGTTAAGTGTAATGTTCAAGAGCAAACTCAAGAAATGGTGCAAGTCATCATCTTCACTTGCAACAATTAAAATCATGACACTAATAATTAGCTAACCACTGAGCCATCATGCCGCTATGCATAGGTTGGTATAGACCTTTTTCTTGGAACGCAAAATTACCCATTATGCTTTGCGTGTATGCGCAAAGAGATTGCGAACTTCCGGTCGGCAGCTGATGCGTGTAAAGTCACATTTGGACAGCTTTGAAACGATAGTTTTAATCTATTTTACCTGCTTTTATCCTCTTTGAACTAATACTGTTGTCCATCAGCAGCATCTCCTGGACTGATCATTTAAAGAAATGCGATCTAATAGGATGGAAAACAGCTGCTGTGAGGCGTTTTCCCCTCGTTGTCAGACAGCATCTTCTGCCGTTTAATTGAAGCCTCGTCATCGCTAAAGTCAACATTTTCTCTTTATTTCAAATATATAACCAGCCCAAACAAATGTAATTCACTAAAATGTTTGACACACACACGTAGCCTGTACTGTGCCACTGACACACTGATTTAATAACTGTGACAAAGTGAAAATATAGGCTAGTGTCATTTTGACATGACAGAAAAACACAAACCGTGGTAAAAACAACACACGAAATAAAACACAAATGGCTCGCGATTAGAATGAACAGCAAATCAGCAGCAGAGGATCAATAACAGACTTTTATTGGTCATTTTGTAAACTGCACGACTTTCACCTGTTAAGTTTCATGCCAGTACTCTGGTTTGCTCTCTCTCTCTCTCTCTCTGTGTGTGTGTGTGCGTGTGTGTGTGTGCGTGTGTGTGTGTGTGTGTGTGTGTGTGTGTGTTAAAGAGCCGCTGAGGTAACAGCTGACAGGCCGGGAACGCACAAACACACTGTATTTCTGACGGCAGACACGTGAACTAGGAGAACGTTTTTCTCGTATTTCTGACGCGCTTGAACCACGTTACAGATTATAACAACTTTAACAGACACATTTCTAAGTTCTGTGTCACAAAAACACTCTGTTATCCATTAAAAACGTTATTGAAACCCATTTTCGAAGCGCAAATTACCAGTTGTACACGCTGTAAACGGAAGTTTTTAGCATTCTACCAGTAGTCGCTGGTCGCTATGGCGCCCTCCATGCAGCAGCCATGAAAAAGGTCTATAACATTCTGACGTTCTGATAGCCTTGGATAAAGATATCACGGATTCAATGTATCATTTTTTAACATGAAAAAAAATATGTATGAACTTACATATACCATAGAAACGATAT